CAGCCCCAGCCCCAGGCCCAGCCTTAGCCCCAGGCCCAGCCTCAGCCCCAGGCCCAGCCTCAGCCCCAGCCTCAGCCTCTACAGAGGAGCCCATGTAAGCTGCTTCTTCAGGACTGATCCAGGAGCTGATACTGGCCTTGTCCCCAGCCTCAGACTTAGAACTGACAGCAGCCTCAGACTTAGAACTAATGAGAGCCTCTTCCCCAGGCCCTGATTTGGATTCAGTACTGGCCTCTTCCTTGTCATCAGACCTAGACACAATAATAGTTTCTTCCCCTGTCCAACACCAAGTCCCTATACAGGCCTCAGCCCCAGGGCCAAACCAAAATCCTTCATTGGCCTCTACCTCAAAACTGACCTGGAACCTTCCACTGGCCTGGTCCTCAGGCTCCACCCTAGATCCTCCACTGGCCTCATTCCCAGGCCTAGACACGGCCCAGGATTCTCCACTGGCCTGGTTCCCAGAACCATCCCAGGAGCCTCCTCCAGAAGCCTGATCTTCAAATTCAGGTTTGGAACAGCCACCAGCCTGATCCCCAGACCCAACCCATGACCTTCCACTGGCCTGATTCCCGGTGCTAGCCCAGGACCCACCAATGGACTGGTCTGCAGGCCCTGGCCTAGAGCCTCCAACAACCTGGCCACCGGCCACACCCCAGGAACATCCTCCACTAGACTGATCCTCAGGGCCTGGCCTGGACACCCCAGCAGCTTGGTCTCCAGCACTAACCCAGAATCCTCTTCCAACGGTCTGATCCTCAAATCCAGGTTTAGAACAGCCACCAGCCTGATCCACAGTTCCAGCTCCAGTCCAGGACCCTCCACTAACATGACTCCCAGTACCAGCCCAGGACCCAGCACTGGACTGGTCTGTGGACCCTGGCTTAGACCCTCCAACGTCCTGGCTGCCAGCAACACCCCAAGAGACTCCTGCATTGGTCTGACTCCCAGTATAAACACAGTACCATCCACTGGCATGGTCAGCAGTGCTAGCCCAGGAATTGCCACTAGACTGTTCCCTGGGGCCTAGCCTGGATCCTCCACCAGTCTGGTCCCCAGCATCAGCCCAGGACCCTCCACCACTGGCTTGATCCTCAAATATAGTCTTTGCTCCACCACTAGATGGATCCCCAGCCCCAGCCCAGGAGCCTCCATTGGCCTGGTCCACAGCCGCAACCAGGAACCCTCCACTGATTTGGTCCCCAGCATTAGGCCAGGACCTTCCACTGGACTGATTCTCAGGCCCCAACTTGGACCCTCCACCAGCCTGGCCACTGGCCCCAACCCAAGATCCTTCCTCGCTGGCCTGATTCTCAAATGTAGGCTTGGACCCACCACCAGACTGATCACCAGCCTCAGTCCAGGACCCTCCTGTGGCTGGGTCTCCAGTGTCAGCCCAGGGCCCACCACTGGACTGATCAACAGGCCCCAGCCTTGACCCTCCACTGGCTTGGTCTGCAATGTCAGCCCAGGACCCACCACTGGACTGGTCCTCAGGCCCCAACCTGGACCCTCCACTGGTCTGGCCACCAGCCTCAGCCCAGGACCCTTTTTCACTTGCCTGATCCTCAAATCTAGGCTTAGATCCACTACCAGACTGATCACCAGTCCCAACCCAAGACAATCCACTGGCCTGGTCCACAGCCCCAACCCAGTACCCAATACTACACATATTCCCAGCCCCAGCCCCAGCCCAAGATCCCCCACTGGCTTGGTTCTCAGCTCCAGTCCAGGATCCTCCAATAGCCCCTTCCCCAGCCCAGGATACCACAGTGGCCTGGCCCCCAGGCCAAGACCCATCACTGGCCTGACCCCCAGCCCAGAGCTCTCCAATGGCCTGATGCCCAGAGATAACCCAAGACCCACCACAGGCCTGGTTCTCAGCTCCAGTCCAGGACCCTCCAATGGCCTTGCCCTCAGCCACTACCCAGGTACTCCCACTGGCTTTGTCCCCAGCCCAAGATCCCTCACTAGTCTGACCCCCAGCCCAGAGTCCTCCACTAGCCTGGTCCCCAGCTCCAGCCCAGGACCCAATACCAACCTCATTCTCAGCCCTAGCCCCAGCCCAGGACTTAACGCTGGCCTCATCACAAGCCACAGCCCAGGATCCAACAATACCAGCCTTATCATTAGCCCCACTCCAGGATCCAATACTGGCTTCATTCTCATCATCAGCCCAGGACATGCTATTCTCCCAGTCTCCATCCATGGCCTGAAACCTAAATTTAATCCATCGCTCAGCAGCAATCCAATCCTCAACACCAATCCCATTCCAGTAGTAATCATGGATGTTAGACTGAGTCTTTCCATAAGCCTGAGTGCCCGACCCACCCTCACTCTCAGAAGCGGCCACAGTCTCAGCATCAGACTTTGCATAGACCTCATCTACTATGGCTACTGCCTCAGAACTGGGCATAGCCTTGTCCCTTGCCCCAGACAAGGTCTTACCCTGGGAATTGGCCACAAGCTGGGACTGAGAAGAGTCCCTTCTACCTGCCCCAGTCCCTGCTTTAGGCACAGCTTTGGGATTGCCCCTGACCTTATTCCTGGCACCAAGTGACATCCCACTCTGGGAATTAGTCACAGCTTGGGGCTGGGCAGAACTGGTTGTGTTTGCTCCAGCCTCTGACTTAATCATAGCATTGGGACTGCCCCTGACCTTGTTCTTGGTACCAAGCAAGGCCTCACCCTGAGAACTGGCCACAGCCTGGGGCTGGGCAGAGCCCATTGTGCCTGCCCCAGCTTCTGCCTTAGACATAGCATTGGAACTGCCCTTGGCTTTATTCCTAGTACCAAGCAAGGCCTCATTCTGGGACTTTCCCATAGCTTGAGGCTGGGCAGTACCCACAGTATTTTCCCCAGCCCCTGCCTTAGATACAACATTGGGATTACCCTTGACCTTACTCTTGGCACCAGGCAAGGCCTCATATTGGGAAGTGGCCACAGCCTTGGGCTTGGCAGAGCTCATTGCACTCATACCAGTCTCTGCCTTAGACACAGAATTGGGACTGCCCCTGACCTTACTCTTGGCACCAAGCAAGGCCTCACCCTGGGAAACAGCCATAGCCTGGGGCTGGGAAGATCCCATTATACCTGTCCCAGCCTCGGCCTTAGACACAGCATTGGGACCGCCCTTGACCTTATTCTTGGCACCAAGCAAGGCCTCACCCTGGGAAGTGGATATAGCTTGGAGCTGGGCAGAGCTTGTTGTATCTGCGCCAGCCCCTGCCTTAGGCACAGCATTGCGATTGCCCCTGACCTTATTTTTGGCACCAGGTAAGGCCTCACTCTGGGAACTGGCCACAGCCTGGGGCTGGGAAGAACCCATTGTATCTGCCCCAGCCCCTGCCCTAGACACAGCAGTAGGATGGCCCTTGACCTTATTCTTGGCACCAGGCAAGGCCTCACCCTGGAAATTGGTCACAGCCTGGGGCTGAGCAGAGTCTGTTGCATTTGGCCTATTCCCCGAATTAGGCACAGCATTGTGATTGCCCTTGACCTTATTCTTGGCACCAGGCAAGGGCTCACCCTGGGAATTGGCCAAAGGCTGGGGATAGGAAGAACCCATTATATCTGCAGTAGCCTCTGCTTTAGACACAGCATTCGGATTGCCCCTGACCTTGTTCTTAGCACCAGATAAGGCCTCACCTGGGGAACTGGCCACAGCCTGGGGTTGGGCAGACCCTGTGGTATCTGTCCCAGCCCCTGCTTTAGACACAGCACTGGAATTGCACTTGACCTTATTCTTGGCACCAGGCAAGGTCTCACCTTGGGAACTGACCATAACCTGGGGCTTGGCAGAGCCTGTTGTATCTGTCCCAATCTCTGCCTTAGACCCAGTGTTAGGATGTCCCTTGACCTTATGCTTGGTACCAGGCAAGGGATCACCCTGGGAATTGGCCATAACCTGGATCTGAGCAGAGTCTGTTGTACCTTCTCCAGCCTCTGCCTTAGGCATAGCTTTGGGATTGCCTTTAACTCTATTCTTGCTACCAGATAAGGCCTCTCCCTGGGAATTGGTCACAACCTGGGGCTGACCACAGGCCCTCTGGTCTTCCTTAGCCCCTGCTTTAGAAATGGCATTAGGATCACCCCTACCATCAACCACGAAATCAGGCAAGACCTCAGTCTTGGCCCCAGCCTGAGGTTGTACACAGGTTTTTGTGTCTGTTCCAATCACTCCCTTACACTTGGCTTTGGCTTTGCCCCTAGCCTTACCTCTTGTATTAGGTAAAGCTTCAACCTGGCTCTGGGCCATAACCTGAGGTTGTGCCTTTGAGTCTGACCCAGCTCCTTCCTTAGACATGGTATTGGCACTGCTCTTTGCCTTAATTCGGCTATCAGCCTGGCCACTGGCCATAGGCTGAGGCAGTGTATAAGACAACATATCTGTCCCAGCCTCCACTTTAGTAGTGACATTGAGATTGCCTCTGCTCTTATCCTTGGTCTCAGCCAAGGCCTCAGCCTGGGAATTAGCCCTCAAGTTTGCCTGGGCCTCTGCTTTAGCCATGGCATTGGGATTGGGTCTACCCGTAGCCCTGGCATCAGGTATGGCCTCAGCCTGAGCACTGGCTACAGCTTGAGGATAAGCAGAAGCCCACATCTCAGCTCCAGTCATTGCCTTGGATATGACACTGGTATTTTCCCTTCCATCAGCCTTGGCATTAGACATCACCTCAGCTTGTTTCATGGCTACAATCTGAGGTTGTATATAAGCTGTCATATCTGCCCCTGCCCCCACTTTACCCATGACATAGGCATTACCCCAAGCATCAACCCTTGCCACAGGCATGGCCTCAGTGTGGGTCTTGGCAACAATTTGAAGCTGAGCAGAAGCCCTCATATCTGCCCCAGACCCTGCCACAGATAGGGATTTGTAATTCCCCTTGTCCTCAACCCCAGCACCAGGCATGTCATCACCCTGGATCTTGACCACAGCCTGAGACTGTGCACAGGACTTCATGTCCACTCCAGCTACCTCCCTGGACATGCCATTGGGATTTCCCCTAGCATCAACTGTGGTACCAGGCCTGGCCTCAGACTGAGTCTTAGCCACACTCACAGTCTCTTCCAGAGCTCTTGCCTTGGTCTCAGCCACAATTCCAGTCTTGTTCATGGCCTCCATCTTGGCCACTTCCCTGGTCACTGCCAAGGTCTCACTCTGTGTCCCCATTACACTGTTAATCTCTGTCTCTTTTTTAGCCAATATATGAGCTGCAGCTTTGGTCTGGGTCATTGCTTCTTTCTTGGCCTCTGCCTTGGCATCCAGTGCCCGAGATTTTGCCTTGGTCTGAGTCACTGCCTCTTTCTTGACTATTCTCCCAGCCTCAACATCAGTTTGTGTCACTGCTTCTTTCACGGCCACTTCCCAGGCTCCAGCCTCAGCCTCAATCACAGTCACTGCCTCTGTCATGACCAGTGTTCCAGCCACAACTTTGGCCTCAGATTGTATCTCTGCCTCTGCCCCAGCCATTTCCTTAGCCTGAGAGTTGGCTTTGGGTCTGACTATAGCAGTGACCATGGCCTCTACTTCAGCTCCAGGCCCACCTCCTGCTCCAGTTTCCGCTCCAGTGTTGGCCTCGGGTCTAGTCTCAATCTCTGATCCAGCCATGGCTTCACTGATGGCCAAGGTCTGATTCTGTACCCCAACCACAGTCTCCATCTTGACTCTGGACCCATTTCTGGCAAGTCTCCTCACACTCTGATCTCTTCCCTTCGTTAATTTGTAAATGTAGTAGCAGGTACCAGCCCAGATCACCAGTCCTGCAGTCACCCAGCCCACTTCCTGAATGCGGCCCATGTAATCACCCCTGCTGAAGGCCAGAACAAGGTACAGTAGGGCTCACTTGGGCTGGGGGAATAGGGTGGTAGGTCTTGATGTAGATCTGTGAGGGCGCTGGTCTTCAGCCACTCTAAGGCCACTACAGCTGCCACTAGAGGTGGACCTAGAAGTGGAGGAAGGAAATGAACTAAAATTTCTTTTCTAATTCTGTTCTGTCATGCAGATAGATACACAGAGGAACAGAAAAAAGTAAAATCATGTGCTTAATGGAAGAAGAGGATGATTAGCAAATTCTTCATCCTTATTTCATCCTCTCCTTATCTTCCCCAAGGCCCAAAAATTTTCCCCAAGGCACTTCCGTATACATTTACATATACCAAATGAATAGTTATAAGGATTATGGGAGACCTAAGAAGGAATGGGTGAGAATGAGAAGCCCCAGACCTTGATTTTTACTGGACCTATTCTAGTCACTACTCCACAGGGCCCTACCCTCATACCAACCTGTAATAGTCTAAGGCAGTTCCCTCCTCTTTCTTTCTCTGGTTTGGTGATAAATCCTAGAGTAGATACATAAACTCATGAGATCGTTGGACCTAGAGACAGACAGACAGATGGAAGGATAGATGGTAGGGGAGAAATTTGTTCTTGATGGGACATATTAGTAACAGTATCTCCACCCTCCTCAGTTGATCCCCACTGCTCCAGGTGTTGTCACACTCTTTTTCCTGTATCACAATTAAGGTAAGTGTGTGGGGTAAATGATGGGGATGGTAGGAAAGGTAGCTGGGAAAGGGAGAGGCTGAAGAGCCTCCAGACTGGGCACTGGCCTTTATTGGATGCATGCTGGCCTCTACCAACCCACCCTGGAAGTCTATGCAGGCAGTCCTCACCTTCTTACCAGTCTCTACTGATAAGGAACAATTTCCTCTTTGTTTCTTTGCTTCCAGTGATCTCAAGCCTTGCAGCAGTCACACAGGCAGATCTATGGACAAGTAAACAAATAGGAGGTAATGGAGACCGAGTCTTTGATAGAAGAGACAATCACCCTTCATGGGTTGATAACTATGTTAATCAGTTTGATTTAAGCATTTCATATTGTATATCAAGTCATCACATTGTACCCCACAAATGTATACAGTTAATGATTTTAATTAAAAATGAACTTTTAAAAACTAAAAGACAAAAAAGAGGGAGGGAGAGAGAAACAATGACCTGACCTCCAATGCCTGCCACACCAGGGCTCAGGTTTAGTTTACTAATATGTCCCATCTCATAGTCTCCCTTGTTAATTCTTCTTTCAGTTATATCCAGCCCACCTTACCCCAATAGTTCTACCTTTCATGCACTGAAATCAATAAGGGTGATGGCAGCACTGAGGAAATCTGGCAGAGTGTAGGGGAGGCAGAAGCGCCCTCCTCTGAGACCTTCTCAAGTCTCAGCCACCTGCTATGCTCACCCTCTCTTGTCATCCCCAGGCACTGTCCCACTTCACACCAACCTCCATGGTCCCAGGCCAGTGGTCTCCTCTTTTCCTTGCTTCCATTGGTGAACAGCCCCACTGCAGGCCTATGGGAAGACCTAGGAACAGACAGGGAAAAGGGGGAGGATGAATGTTGAAGGTTTGTGACATCCTAGTATCCAAGACATGGGTCTGTGTACCTGCCTTTCTAGAGTTAGAGACCCATTTCCTGGCAGGCAGACCCAGGAGCTTCCCAGCACTGAAATGAGAAGGGTGTAAAAGGGCAGCAGGAAAAGTAAAAGCCAAGAGATAGGCAAATTATTTTAAAACCACCTGTAGAGTTCTAGAACGTTCTCCAAAAGTCCACCATTTCCTTCATTAAGATGGTCAGGTGGTTGAGGAGATCTGGAAAACTGGAGGATAATGAGAGAGATGGAAGCCCCCAGGTTCCATACTCTAGAGTCATAGCCTATTGCCATTTGCTTCCTTTTAAACCCATCTATAGGAGTCTCCAGCAGAAGAGACAAGGGATAGGGGATGGGTGCTGTTTCCATTAAATTATTCTTCCTCCCCCCCAAGGCTATCTCAAAGAAAAAATGGTAATGTTCTTTGATACAACAATTTATATTTTCTCACTATTCTGTGAAGTGCAAATAAACACATCTGTAGATAAGTTTGCTGTCCTTACTGGTCTTCAACATGCAATTTAAGTTAAAAAGTCCTAAGCTTGGTAAGTAAACGCAGTTAAAGGGAAGTCTCCTAGCTAGCCCCACCCCCCACATCCCAATCAGATAGCGGCTCCTGAGTTCCTGTCATAGAGTTCATATATAACTCCAGCAGTTTACAGGCAGTTCCCAAGCTCACACTAACCTCCATAGATCCCGTGCAGTTTTTCTCTTCTCCTTCTTCCTTTCTCTTCACCACAAACAGTGCCACACAGAACTACTGTCCGACAGACAGGAAAGAGTAAAGCGCTGAGTGTTGGACCAGCACCCAGGCCACAGATTCCAATACTCGCCTTTCCAGATTCAGGAACCCGGTTGTCAAAACGTCCCTTCCCATAATTCGAGACACCACCCCTACCAACCCCGCCGTCCAGCCACTAAGGCCCACCATTTTCTCTGCAAACGCCACCGTGGCGCATCCCTTCCACTGAAATGAGCAGGAAGCGAACGGACATGTGCGATCAGTGATTGGAGTTACCGAGGATGGGTATCTCAATCTCTGTATTTCTCACTAGAGACACTCTCCCCACCAGCCGCCCTGTCAAAGCTCACGGTTCCCCAATACAGATGGAGGCAGGGGAAGGGGGCTCGGGAGAATCAGAGGCGAAGCCGCCTCAAACTTGAACCAGCATATATCCTCCCCCCACTCCGATACCCGCTGCCTGGATTGACAAACTGCTGCCACCCTGGCCACTGCGCGGGCCCCGGGGCCCTTCCTTACCTGTTCCGCTTTCCCCGGGCCTGATGCCAGCCCGCCCAGCGCGGGGCAGCGGGGAGCTGCTAGCCAGACGCGAGTGACGACTGCACCGAAGGCTGCGTCGCTCTGCAGCTCCGGGTCACGTGAGGTCCGCGCGTCACCGCCGAGCTTGCACTCCTCCCCACCACCCCCGCCGGCCCGTGGCCAGTCAACAGGACCCCCGCCTTCCGCACGCACAGACCCCCCCCCCTTCTATCTGTGCGCGGAGCCCCAGCGCACGCTGTCCTGTCACTCATCTCCGTCCCCTCCAATCTGAGGGCCCACAGGTGGCATCATCGCCTTACAGTTGGAGTTTACCCATCTCTGGTTACCAAGGAGGGTCTGTAACCCTCCACCCACTCCCAGGCCTTAGCTACGGCCTTTCCTGCTGCTTCTTTGAGGAATCCTTTCTTTCTCTCTTAGCTGTAAGACCAGCGCTCTCCACCCACCCCCTACACAACCTTCCCTCCAGAATTACAGCGCCTGCACCAAACGGGATGGGAAAGGTGTTGGGAAGGAAAGCAGAGAGTGCAAGTAGAGATTTAACTTTCTTGTATATGTTCCTTTTTTTCCCTTTAACATCACATTTTTTTTTTTTGTACTCGGAAAAATGCAATATAGCCATTGTCATTTTACATGAAAAAATCCAGGTTATAAAAATAACAAAAGATTCATTCAATTCTTTACATTATTTTGTGCCACATTAAAAAACATTTTCTAGTTATTGTTGACGGTTTCACAGCTTTCAAATTATTGACTTTTTTTTTTTTTGGAGACAGAGTCGTTCTCTGTTGCCCAGGCCAGAGTGCCATGCCATCAGCCTAGCTCACAGCAACCTCAAACTCCTGGCCTCAAGCTATCCTCCTACCTCAGCCTCCTTCCTCAGCCTCCCAAGTAGCTGGGACTACAGGTGCCCACCACAACTATTTTTAGTAGAGAGGGGTCTCTTTCTTGCTCAGGTTGGTCTCAAACTCTTGAGCTCAAGAGATCGTCCCACCTTGTCTCTACTTCCCAGAGCGCTAGGATTACAGACATAAGCCACTGCATGAGCTACTTCACCCTGCCCAATCACTGACATTTTAAATACAAAGTAGTCCTAAACAAAGCCAGAGCCTTTTCAATGTTATGTATAAAATAATCTTTTAAAGGCATTCAGTTTTCCAAGTTTGACAATTTTACACAAGTGGTTTATAACCTGTTGAAGCTCTGACTGAATGTACCATGTTTTTCAAGTGGCAGAGATCTTCAGAGATAACTCCTGGTTAATTTAATGAAGACCCATCTCTTGAAGAATCCAGTGCCTTGCAAACCAGTAACCTATTTCTTATTCAAGGGTCTTTATTTGGATTTTACATAAGCACATAATCAAATCAATCTCAACACACCCATGCAAGGGGACCAACTGCTATGGCCTAGATGAAAAGGAGGTTTAGTAGGTGGGATTTTCATTCCATCATGACACTGGTTAGATCTCTCTAGTGTCTGCCATTCATGTACCATATGTCACCCTAGGGGGGGGTTTCCAGTGGAGGTGGTGGTAAGGGTCTGTGGATAACTGTGAATTGTTGCAACACCCCTGATGTTCATGTCATTTTCCCCCACAAATGGAAGGACAATGTACCAGATTTCAAGCAGTTACAGGGAAAAAAGAGGCCTTTTTATTCCCTGTCTCCTGTGACATCTTCACTGTACTATCTGCACAAACGCTTCAGAATAATCCCAGAACTCAGGGACAAAATATGCAGAAGTTAGCCCCCCGACATCCACCTGTCTCTGCTGGTGAGTTATACTCTAAATATAGATACTCCAAGCAACCTCTTTTTTAGAACACTGAAATATGACACCCGAGCAGGAGACCCCCCCCTCCCAGCTGTCTTCTAAGAGAGGCCCCTTTGTGGAAAGGGCCCTTTCAGGAGGCTAGCCAGGGAGCCTGTAGAACCATACAGCCTTCCCAACGTCTTTTCAGAACTCAATTGCCTGTGACAAACTTACTTTCTCCACCAATGGAAAAGATTGCTAAATTAGTTACATGAAATTTTAAAACTCTGGCCAAGTTAAAAAAAAATAAGCAGTGGATATCAAAGAGCTAGTTTGTGATAATCTAAAAACTCTTGCAAATCAATAATGAAATGATAAACAGCTCAATAGGAAAATGTGCCAAAAGACATAAACAGACACAGAAAATAAATACAAATGACTGACAAACATATGAAAATATGCTCAACTTCAAAGAAATGCAAATTGAAACTTACTATGTGTTAGCTATAAGTTGTCAAAATTTAGAAATTAGATAATATTGGTGACTGGTTTGTCAGAAAATGGGCATTCCCACACTGTTGTAGGCAGATATCGAAGCAAACTTCCTATGGAGGGCAATTTGCAAAATCTATTAAATGATGTATATGGTACTCCACAAATTATTTGACCTAGTAATTCTATTCCTTGGAATTCAGCCAACCTATGTATCTACACAGGTCCACAAAGATATATGCAGTTTTGGCCGGGGCTGGGCTTGAACCCACCACCCTGGGTATATAGGGCCAGCGCCCTACTCGTTGAGCCACAGGAGCCACCCTTCCATGCAGATATGTGTACTAGGATATTTTTCACAGTGCTTGTAAAGGTTTAAAAAGAAAAAGAAGCAACATAAAATGACCACCAATAGGGGAGAGACTAAATAAATTATATTAGATTTATACAGTGTAACTGATAAAAAGGAAGAGTTGGGACTACGTATCCTGATGGAAAGATAATGGGGACATTTTACTATATGCCATTTATTTTCTGTAATTACAGTCAAATTTTGCAAGAATACTGAGGAGCTAGGGAAATTTCACCCCGAAATATGACTACTTGGTATAAAGAATACCTTGAATTAAAGGCCATTCAAGATCAGAGAGCTTTTGGAAGGGGCTTTCCCTCTATCCATATAAAACTGCACTTACCTGATCAAAAGATAAAAGGTCAACTGACCTCTTTTCCTCTCCTCTTTATCTCGAAATACCTGGCCTTTAAAACACAAAATCGGTCTCTCAGGTTAATTTACAACTCAGTCTGTTTTCCCCCATCTCTTCCTCTTCCCCAGAAACCACTTATTGCAACCATACTCCATATTTCCCCCTCTCCCTTCTAAAAGGCATCTATAAAGGTATAGGACCATCACTGAGACCCTGGGTAATCACGCTTGTGATTCTCCCCATGTGCACTGTATTTGCAAATAAATATTTCTCTTACTAATCTGCCTTAATTGTGAGTTGATCTTTCAGCAAACTTTCTGGGGAAAAGGTCAGGTTTCCCCCTATCCCCTACAATAGGTTGAGGGGCCTAACTCCGCCACACACAAACACTTTCCCCTCTTCCTCCTCCTCCTTTCCTCCTGAGACAAAGACAAAAGGCCTGACTAGCCCACCCCCTGAGAAGTTTGCTCCAAAAGACCCTGGCCTGACAGGCAAACTGTGGAATTCACCAACCCCCAGGGCCCCATATAAAATTGGTTTCTAACTGCCACTGAGGACAGATGCCATCTTTGCACTGCCCAGGCAGGTCATCTCCCCGGTTTCAATAGAGCTGACCTACACTTCTCTCTCCCACTGCTGCTTCTTCTCTGGGTGCCATTATTTAAACCTTTCACAGTACCTTCTAGTATAAAATTCAAACCCAGAAAAATAACTAGTACCACATTAAATCCACTATTCCCATCCAAATCACAGTTACCTCCCCATTGTTATAAATGTGGTATGTTAAATCCCTTTCTATATATTAGGGATGCATACATGTCTCATTAAAATATATAAATAGGATCACAATTAATATACTGCTTTGCGACTTGAGGGGGTTTCCACTTAAAATTATGTCTCAGAGAGCTCTATGTAGCAGTACATTTAAAGATACTTCATTCTGGATTTTTTGAGACAGAGCCTCAAGCTGTCCCCCTGGGTAGAGTGCTGTGGCATCACAACTCACAGCAACCTCCAACTCCTGGGCTCAAGCGAGTCTCCTGCCTCAGTCTCCCAAGTAGCTGGGACCACAGGTGCCTGCCACAATGCCCGGCTATTTTTTGGTTGCAGCCGTCATTGTTGTTTGGCAGTCCTGGGCTAGATTCGAACCCACCACCTTAGGTGCATGTGGCTAGCACCTTAGCCATTTGAGCCACAGGCGCCGAGCCCACTTCATTCTGTTTTAACTGCTGCATATATTTCATAGTTTGGTGATACTATTATTTTTGACACACACACATACACACCATCCTATTGATAAACATAAAACTATTCTGGGAAGCTGGGCACAGTGGCTCATACCTGTAATCCTAGCACTGTGGGAGGTGAAGGTGGATGGATTGCCTGAGCTCACAGGTTCAAGACCAGCCTGAGCAAGAGCAAGACCTTGTCTCTAAAAATAGCTGGGCGTTGTGGCCAGTGCCTGTAGTCCCAGTTACTTGGGAGGCTGAGACAAGAGAATCGCTTGAGCCCAGAAGTTTGAGGTTGCTGTGAGCCATGATGCCATAGCATTCTACCAAGGGAAACAAAATGAAACTCTGTCTCAAAAAAAAAAAAAAAAAACTATTCTGGGTCTGGGGTTCCGTGCCCGTAGCACAGTGGTTATGGTGCCAGCCCACATACACCAAGGGTGGCAGGTTTGAACCCAGCCCAGGCCAACTAAACAACTGCAACAAAAAAATAGCTGGGTGTTTTGGCAGGCACCTGTAGACCCAGCTACTTGGGAGGCTGAGGCAAGAGAATCGGTTAAGCCCAAGGGTTGAAGGTTGCTATGAGCTGTGATGCCACAGCACTCTACCGAGGGTGACATAGTGAGACTCTGTCTCAAAAAAAAAAAAAATTCTGGGTCTGGGGCTAATAAAAACAAGGCTGCAATGAATAACCAGGTACCTACAACCTTGCCCACAGATGAAAGTTTCTTCAGGATGTTCTTCTATAAAGAGAATTGTTTGGTTAAAGATATGAGATTTTATACATTTGATTATGCCAAAAGAAGGAGATGAGATTTTATATAGTTCATGGATATACATCAAACTGCCCCCCAATGAGACTGGGCCAATTTACACAC